AAAATCGTTGGAGCATGGCAGAGTTTTTTTGTAAAACTTGAAAAAATGAAAAACGTAACTACCAGTAATCAATCACATGATTACCTTCAGAAGGAATGGTTGGCGAAAAATTGAACAGAAAAAGTTGTTTTTTTTTGGCGTCAAAGAGAACAAGACTGCTCGTATCATGTCGAAGCCTTGAATGTTCAGACTACCTTTTAAGGTCCGTGGAGCAATAATAACATGAAAAAAGATATGTAAAAAAAACATGAATTTTTTTTTAATTTGAGAATTTTTGCGAAAGTCATCCAACCACACGCCATTTAAAGTACAGAGTGATAAATTTCGCTCATAGTAACAAATCAATTATGGCAAATAAGCTTTCTTCAGCCAATTTAGACCGATTTTAAGACGGATTTATTCTCCGCTTACGCGTCATTAGCGCAAAGTATATCACGCGTTAATTCTCTAAAATTGACCAAAATGGCAATCTTTAAACCCTCATAACTTAACAACAATCGATCACAGGTGAAATATTCTTCAAATTTAAGCTCAGAACAGCAAAACTTTTTGAAGATATAATAAATACCTTAAGCAATGGCTAGTTAAAATGCCATAATTTGTCTGAAGAAAAAAAAACCACCCCGAGCACAAATATTTTGTTACTTTTGTCACGAAAGTTGGAACAAATTTCGAATTTGCTGTATTGAACAATGAAACAAATCAAAGGCGCTTTCGGTTTTACAATACGCTCAACTTAGCACGAAGAACCAAACAAGACTGCTCGTTTCAGTACGAAAACCTGAATGTTCTGACTGCCTTTTTAAGATCTATGGAGCAGTAAAAACATGAAAAAATTTTTAAAATATTTAATAAAATCCGCACACCCCATTTGCAGTACAAAGTGATACATTTTGCTCCTAGTAACAAATCACTTATGGCAAATAAGCTTCCTTCAACCAATTTGGAACGATTTCTCCGACGGGTAAATCTCCACTGACGCGCTAATAGCGCAAAATATATCACGCGTTATTAGTCTCAAGTTGGCCAAAATGGCAATCATCAAACCCTCATAACTTTACGAAAATGGGTCACAGGTGAAATAACTAATCAAATTGAAGCTCAGGACATCAATAGTTTTCGGATGATAAAAAAAAATCCGTCGAAAATGGCTAGTTAAAAAGTCGAAATTTGTCTGAAGAAAAAAACTACCCCGAGCAAAAATTTTCCGTTACTTTCGTGACGAAATTTGGATCAATAAATATAAATTTTCATTTGCTTTTTGTTGTACGGACGTTACAATCATTGATTAATCATTTTGCGAGTTCTGTTAATTATAGTTTTATCGCAAAAAAAACTGTATTGAATTAGATGAATGAACTTTATCTAATCTTTTCATTTTCCAACACGCCTCCTGAACTCATTGAAAGAATTCTGCGAAAAATTGAAAGCAAAATTACAGTTATTGATTGGAGAAGTAAGAAAGCCGAAAAATTTATTTGACTCCATTTTTCGTAGTATAAATTTAAACATCAATATCTAATCATCACCAACAGAAAAATTTTCAATTTTTTCGAAAAAAATTGTCGGGGCTTTCACGAAAGATGTTCTTTTCATAAACAAAAATTATCATAATATATCATTATTTGTTGAAGCAGGAAACTTGTTATTTCTAAGATTTCTTGAAACAATTTAAAAAAATTTTTTTATGGTCTTCTGCTATCTAACTGCCTCATGTTTACACAAATATCACATTTGAATTCACCATGTGCAGTGGTTAATTATCATTTTTTCCTGCAAATAATACCAATTTCCGCTAAACTGCAGCAAAAAAAATTTACGCGTACCCTTTTTACATAGGATAAAACTTATGTTATCAAACAAAACCAGAACTTCGGGGCATTGCTTTCTTCTTTATTTATCAGAGAGAAGGAATACTTTTATTGAAGCATTGCTGGTAAAAAAAAACTCGATTGAGCTAACAAGGAGATCTGAAGGTTGGAATTCCCCAAGGCCTATTAATATAATAACCTCGCATATAATACTGATATATTAGATGGGCGTCGAGTGTTGAAGTAATCACAGGAATCCATAGACAAGGACTTTGGTTTATTACGAAAGAGGGAGTTAGAAACGAAAAGTAATCGGGAAAGTCCCGGTTGAATTGTATTTTCTAACCAAATCGAATTAAAAAAAGCAGCTGAACCAACAAGATAACACGCCATAAAAGGCCCCCTTGAACTTCTGCACGCTCAATCAATCAAACGTCTTGTGCAATCAGAAGATAGTGGTTTGAAAAGTGGGTATGCATCAAAAAGCAAATCTGAAAGCTGTTCAAAAATAAAAGTTTTCACTCAGTGTTTCACAATTTCACAGCACTGATTTTGCGCGTTTAAAAGCTGAAGAAAACGCGATAGGCGGAAGACAAAGCTCGGGCATATAAATTGGCTTATATTTTAGCAGAATTCTATAAAACACATCACGAAATCATTATAGTTTTATTTCATAAACCAACCAAAAAAAGCTGCTTTTTTGGAGGCAAAGTCCTGAAAGTTCAGACTGTCTTTTAACGTGTCTTCAAATAACTTTACATTAAGTTTTTTTTTTCTTTTGTGAAGTCCGACTAAACAGATCAGAACAGTTTTGAGTAACGCTGACCGTTCGTATCATTGCAGAAATTTGAACGTTCCGACTGCCCCTCAAGCTGTCTGATGTAGTTTTTTTTGAAAAATTATTGGTTTTTCATTTTTTCCTGAAAAGTTTTCCTAAATTGTGAAAGCGATAAGTTTTGCACCGATCTGTTGAAAAACTTAAATCCGACTTTCGAAGAAAATTTACATCTGTGGTGGTTTTTTCTATCAGCCTAATCTTAATTTTGCATTTGACTGTTTGTGACAGCCTCTATTCACAGCTTCTGAAAAATTTCGATACCAGAAGTTAGATTGTTTTAAAGATTTTTCAAATGTGGTTGCTTTGGTATGGCAAGAATTTGTCGTTAAAATTTGACCCAGGATTCGTTACGTAGTAATTAGTGAAACATTTCATCACGAGTCCCACACAAAGCATGACCGCTTGGTGTTGGTGAATATTGCTGGATGAATTTAGTGTTCAGTCTTTCGAAGAAAAGCGGAAATTTTATGCGCGAGTGTTTTTTTACTCAATCAAATTTCGGCAATCGTAATTTTCACCAAAGCATTTTTGTACAATCTTGAAAAACCGACCTTCTGAATTGAAATTGAAAATTGTTTTGCCCTTGATTGTTTTTTTTGTTAAGCTACGGGCGTTTGAAAATTGCCAATTTGGCCATCTGCACTAGAAAATTGTTCCACATTGAACTGAGGCAATTTTATTGATCGTCTTAATTTTGTACTACTCAAATTCTACATTTGATGTTTATTTCTGTCCAAATTTTATGGGTTTTAATTTTGTTTCGCCAATTACTTTTCATACCGATTAAGGGCAGACGGAGTTTTGCCCTAATGAGCAGTCTTTTTTCTCTATATTATGAAAATTGCTCAACGACAAATTAGCGCTTTCTAAAATTCAACCAACAATCATCTGCAACAAATTATGGCTGCGACAAATTTTCGCGTCACCAATTTTTTTTGTGTGAAAATGCCAAATTGTGATAAATATTGCGTGCCGAAGTTTTCCTTTGAATGTTGACTCGCGGCAAATTCAACTAATTAACCCATTTCAAAAATCATTCCAGCTTGAATTAAGGCACGCTTTTTTATCCCAATAACGTTTAAGTAGATACGAAATGTATCATTCCAGTTTTTACATTGGGTTTCGAGGAAAATATATAACAAAATTGTTCAATATTTCATCAATATTTTTTGGACAAAGTTACTTAAGCACATAGGTTCCGATTTTTACTTCAAAGTCGGAGAAAAAAGTTTTGCATCATTTGTGATGTTGATGACCTGAATGTGGTCGGTTAACTTTAAGTAATCGATTAGAAAGCGAAGTGTTACAAAGAAAAAAGACGGCAGAATTCAAAGACTGACATTAAAGTTTTGATCCCTGGAGACCAGAGGAAATTGAAAAGTACACTTCAAGTTTCCTTCAGTTATCTGCATAAGGAAATGCACAGGTAGTTCGCGCAAATAGAAAAGTTACCCTTTTATTCTGCATTGAAAGGTGAAAATAACTAGAGGAATACGCGATTACTTTAAGTTTTGAAAAAGAGACAATTGTAAAACTGCCTCCCGCCTTCTTCAAATCCGGTTGCTAAATTCCCCCTGCTCTCTTGTACAGCTGAACAATTGAGGGTAACCTTGTACGAAAAACTTAAACAATGGTGGGAAATCTTGTAAAAATTTTATACCTATCCAAAAAAGTTCGAAGTTCAAAGTTCATTTTAAGCTCAAATAAAAAAAACAGATGCAAGCACTTGGTAATTTTTAGTCAGAGTAGTTGTTGCAAACGGTTTTGCAAAAGCGTCATAGTGCCATCCTCCTCCACCGCTGAAAAAAAATATATTTTTCGCACCACTTTCTTGTGAAAAAAAATCGTTTTCGCATATCTGAGTTTTCAACGCATCTCGATCAAAATCCAAAATGGCCATCATTATCGATATCAATTGAAAAATTGCAGTATTTCATTAGGAAAACTTTGCGGAATTTGTGAAGCAAATTCAAATTTGTCAAATTTTCTCAAATCGTTAATTCACTGCTTAAAGAGAGGATTAGAATTGAAAAAGACCCCAACTGACTAAAAAAACGTACTTTTTGACAAGCCCCAATCAAAAAATATCGGGAAAGCTTTAAAGCACCTTCAAAAAATAGCTTTTACACAGTTTTTCAAGATTACATGAAGTACCGAATGCGCGAAAAAATTCAACCAATCACTGTCCTTTGAGTTGTCCAAAACTGACTGATTTTATCACTTTGTTTGAATCGAATTTATGATAAATGAGTTCTGATTGGCTGACAAACTTTTCGCGCATTGGCTCTTTCGCACTTGAGGGATTCCCTGTGAGGATGGCATGATGGTGATGATGATGATAGATTGCATACCCCTTCGACGTTAGTGAGGTGTTTGGTGAGCAGGGCCTCAGAGTAGATGTCCGGCTCGTGCAGGATGTCGGGGATGAGCGCTCGGCCGATGAAGTCGTGTCGCGTGAACCTGTCGAAGTCGTAGACTGTCAACTGCAGCATTCTGTTCGGCAGCTCTTCATGTGATACTTCGAACACGAAAGTCTCGTTGAACGAGGGGAACAAACACTTCTTAACTACCTATAGAAGAACACAATTGCCGAATAATTACGAAAAAAAAACAACGAAAAAAACAAACAAATGATTAGCCTTAAAAAATACAAAATGAATGATTAACTGCTAAAATTTGATGTTTTTTTTTGCTCAGAACAAAAGAATTAAAAACCGGAAGCTAGCAAAATCATATTTTGAAAATTAAAACAATTGAAATTGTGGACTTGAAGCATTAGTTGTGACTAATACATAGACCTAAATTTCTAACGAAAAAAAATGTTTGACCATTTTTTTGACAACAAAACTGGAGTTTTTTACTGCATCAGTTATTTTCATTTGATATGGATAGAACGAACCAGGGGCGGATTTAAGGGAGGGAGGTTCTCAGGGATTCGACCCCCTGTCGACCCAAAGGGTCCCCCCTTTGGTACTTTTTAAGAAATCCAATTTTGGCCGACCGACTCTAAAATTTTTTCTAAGAGCGCAATCGGTGCCAATATATATATTAACTTTGAGGGGCAGCGCGCGCCATTTCCAAAAAGTGCCCAAAAGTGCCCGTATTTTTGTGCTTTAGAGAGCTCGGAAAATACGGAAAATCAATTAGGTCAACCTAAAAAAAAGGTCGTCAAAATTTCCGTAATTTTTTTTGAAAATCCGCCCCCCTCGAGAAAAAATTCTAAATCCGCCCCTGGAGTCAGATACAATGTCAGTTATTATATTATGTGTTATCTTATGATCTAACCTTGGTTTGATATTTAGTTTTGGTTTCTGGCAGCAGCTGCACTTTGACATATGGATCCGAAGTGCCCGTCAAGTCTTTAGGGGGCAAGTCGGCCGCTTTGATGATACGAACGCGCAGTTGGTTCTCGGACGGAATGAAGTGCAAGCCGAAAGTCAGAGATCCGTTTTTAGTGCTCTCGGGTTCAGGCTTCTGGAGATTTTTGTACAAGTCGGGTCTGATTTTGCCAATTGATGCCTGGGCTGTGTTCTGTTTAGATCGGGTCGAGGAGGGTATTTGGAGAGGGGGCACCCCGTGACCCAATGGGGGAGTCTTCTGATCGTCTGGGGGCAACGAAGCTTGTCTGGGTACATAACGGGAACCAATGACACAAGGTACTGTTGTCTGACGACCCCAAGTTCTGAAGCTGTTCCTAAAACCCAAAAAAAAGAAACTCATCATAACATTATAAATGTAATGATGGATAATTACTTTGGGTTATTTCAATTATGTTCCTCTCAGTCCTATATTAATGTTCATAAAATTTATTACGGTCGTTCCGACTTTCGAAGAAAGTATAGAATATTTATTATTTTTTCACCAGCAGCTCAAGCAAAAACATCAAAGTTTTCAGCTTCAATTTTTATTTAAAATTAGAACTAAACAAGACTGCTCGTATATCAGGGAAAAGCCCTGAATGTTCCGACTGACCCTTAATTCATATCAAATAGTTCTTAGGAAAACAAAATTTTGAAAACCGATACATTTTGGACAAAGTCAAAGTGTAAAATTTTCATACGTACGAAATTATTACGACCAATTAGCTAGCCTCAATTCAATTTGGAACGAGTTTGCTAATTCCAAAACGAGTTTGCTAGGATAATTCTCCACGCATAAATAACTCGCGTTACGTTCTCAGCATTATGAATTAACTCTTAAAAGCGCGCATAATTTAGTCCAGAACATGGCAAATTTGGCAATTTTCAAACACCAGCAATTTACAAAAAATATTCGGAGGTGAAAAATCTTTTACGTTTGAACTCAGAAAATCGATATCATTAATGAGTTATAAAAAATTGTGGTCGAAAATTTTTATTTCGTTCGGTGAAAATTGATGGATTAAAAAAAAACTTCACGGAGCATAAATATTCCGTTTTATTCGAAAGTCGGAACAACAAGACGACTCGTATATCAGGGCAAAGCCGTGAATGCTACACCTAGCCTTTAATTAGTTTTTGGTAAGAGAAAATATTGGAAAACTAAAAACTTTGGACAATATCAACAATCAATAGTAAAAATTTGAGTCGTACAAAAAAAACCTTCAAAACGCGCATAATTTAGTCCAGAGCTTGACCAAATTGACAAAGTTCAAACCCAATTATATCTCAAAATTTAAAGGAAACCCTTAAATTCTATATTGCGGAAAACGGCTACTCCCTCATAACTATTGCTGATTGATTACTCTGACAAGTTTTTTTTCACAAAACAGTCTGATTGATTTCTAAGAAAAAAAAAAGGCAGTGCTCGACTTCTGTTTCGAGTCACAAACGTGCACATTTTGAATTTTGTAAACTTGATAAAAAAATTGAGTAACTCGACCCGGGCGCACTATTTGGAGAGCTAAAGTACAGGTTTGACAAAAACTAATTGATCACAAAAAAGTCCCAATCGAAAAATCCAGTGGTAAAAAGCATGATTGTTCGGTTTTTAAGAACTATCACTGTAACTTTTTTTTGATTTATAAAACTTTCAGAGTCTAAGGAGACTTATTTTTTGCAATTTCAGTCACTCTGACCTCCAAAATGTTAATTACAACATTAAAACATTAGTTACAATTTTATGAGCTTTGAAAACTGCCTAAAAACATAATATAATTGATCTAAAAAGCCTGCATCTCATTATGTTTACTAAATTTTTTCACCGACAATAAAAATTAAATAAGTTCGGCCCGGGGAAGCTTATGTAATTTAATGTATAAGAAAACTGAAATATGCCGCAAACCTCGAGTCTAGATTCTGTTCACAGCACTAAAATCGACTACTGTATCGACTGCAATTCTTTTCAAGATATTTGAGTCATGTACATTATATCCGCAAAAAAAATACAGGCTGAGCACTGTATTTTTGTTTTCTATAATGAATTTTAAAAAACTCCGAATATTTAGACATGCTCGGGCTGAAAATTTTTTATATTGCCCTTAAACAGAAAAGGAACAAGTCTACTCGTATCAGAGTGTAACCCTGAACGTTTTAATTGACTTTTTAGGCCTATGGAGTAATGTTTGAAATAAAAAACATGATGAACGTTTCAAAAAAGAAAATGAATTTTTTTATTTTGGAGATTTGTTTCATCCTCCACACGCCCAATAAAAAAGTGATAAATTTTGCTCGTGTCAACATTGTAATTGTTTTTCGAATGATCTAAAAAAAAATACGCCAAAGATGCCTGTTAAAAAAATTACCTTCAATTTGGTTGGGGTAGAGAAAGTTCACTTGGTCGATGTGGGGAGGGGAGAGAATGGGCTAATTTGTCTAATGGTACTTCTTTTATACAAAACTTCTTTCTTTTCGTATTATCTTTGTAAATCAGAGCAGTCAATAATGTATTTTGTCTCCTTAATGAAAATGGCATACATAATTAATGCTGAAATGACTGATCGTGCAAAAAGTTGCCGTTGCTCAACAAGAATGAGCCGCCAAAAATACATCAGAAGTACAAAATAGATGAAAAAAAACTTATTGGCAATATGTTGTGTTGCACAACAACATTAATTTTCGGCATTTTGGAGTGTTAATTTTATTTGGCATGTTGGTTCTTCGGTTTGTTGAACAACAACCGCAAGCAGTGTTACATACTTTGAATAATAATGGTAATGGCCAATTTTTGCCAATGGCTTGAAATATAATAGGCAGATAGACAAAGTCGAGGACTAAAGCTTATAGGTTCAAGTTACATAACTACGTCCTAGTTGACTTGAAATTATCGCCTAACTATCCAACCGTCATTGAAATTACTCGATTGTTTTTTTTTTCGAAAAAAAAAACGCAAAAGGGCAGATTTTAACAAAATTTTTAACAAAGTTTTACCACATGCTGAATCAATAACTAAAACTTTTTATTTGATTTGTCGAATTTAAATTGAAACTATCACCGAAATACCGTACCGTCATTAGAATTACTTAATCAGTTCTTGAAAAAAAATCTTGCAGAAGAGCGGATTTAAACAAAAAGTTGAAAGTTTTACCAGAAGTTGAAGCAACATTTATTAAGAGCACATGATAAAAAAAAATTGCGATGTATCGGTTATCATAAATATCAACTAAAAGCATTAAATTTTAACAAGATGGTCGTACCAAGGCAAAGCCTTGAATGTTCCGACTGCCCTTTAACTGGTCTCAAAAAGTTTTTGGTAAATTGAATATTGACAAACTATGAACGTTTGGTTGATAATATCAAATTTTAAGTGCTCAAAATTGACTCGTGGATGAAATCAAAAAAACCAATGAGTTAGCTTCAATTTCGATTTTACTAGTAGATATTGGAGGTGATCAAGGAGGGGTGCCAGGATACCCACATGCATTAGGATAGGTAATAGACTATTCGGTCTCCCGACTATTTGCTTAAGCGTCGCGTTTTAATTCCATGTTAAAATTTTCCAAATTGAGACGAGGATAGTTGATCCCAGTAAATCCTATTCACGCCTCCGCTTTTAACACTTAGTTAAATTTAGTGGTTTTTGATTTGCGACTATTTAACTTCAGCTTTTTTTAAAAAAAAATAATGAGGAACAGACGGAACAATCAGAGTTGTGCGCTGATATACGGGTAGTTTTGTTTGTAACTCAACAAGAAAAGAATTTCTCTTCCACAGGAAATTATGATTTCAGACAAATAACTAATATGGTTGCTCAAATTGACTTTGCAACTTTTTCTTTTAAAAGTTTTTTCTAATCACTACTGAAAACTTTTTGATTTTTCTGATCAAATAATTCAGGCTTGATAAATTTAAACTATACCACAAAGTAATGATCAAAAATAAATTGCCATTGCACTAAATTGTGACAATAGGTATATTATGTCCTTTTTAATGCAATCTAATTAAGAAACAACAGCACCGCGACAACTCGCAAAACACCATCATGTTGTGATTTTGTTGCTCTATCAAAAGCATTTGACACTGTAGATCCCCAAATTATAGTGAGAAATTGTGAATGATATGGCTTTCGTAGACCTAGATATAACAAATTGATGCCTTATATTTCAAATTGGAGTCAAGCAGTGCTTACCAAAAATGGGAAAAGCAAATAGGACCAACATAAAGAGTTTATGGCTTATGTTGGAGTGGATAAGCGCACCCGCATCCAAGTTTAGGCGTAAATAATCGATTATAACTGATTATTATGATGATTTTTTGACAATTATAATCGATTATAATTGCCAAAATTAGGTCCTTAAGGGATTTATAATCGATTATAATCGTGATATTTTCCAAGAGATTATTATCTCTTATAATCGATTATAATTGATTATAATTGATTATAGTTCTTACAAAAAACCCTTAAAATCAATTATAATCGATTATAATCTCTTATTTTGCCGAAATTTTCTTTTATTCGAAATATATCTTATGGGTTGTTTTTTTGTGTAATTAAAAAATCTCTAAAAGAGAGATCTCTTGAACACTTTGGTTCATCTGAACACAAAGTTATACCACGAAACAAAAGTTTCATAGAGATCCTTTCATATGAGTGGAAAGGTTCTCGCGGTAGATGAAAAATAAATTTGCCGAATCAATCATAAAACTAAATAAATCTGCTGATGTTTTGGTGTTTAAAAAAGCTTAAAATATGCATCACAAAACAACTCTAATGGGGAAGAAATGAAAAAAAAACTTAAAAATTTGAATTAATTGGAAAACTTTAAAAACATTTTTCTCATTTTTCATAGGAACCAACGTACACAAAAAGCATAAAATATAAGCAATTTAGATGCAATTTCGAAGACAAAAATGGACAAACAAAAGGGATTATAATCAATTATAATCAATTATAATGGATTTTTGTGCGAAACTAAAAAAATAGAAATTTGAATAAAAATAATGGATTATAATCAATTATAATCGATTATAATTGTGTCAAAAAATAGACGAATAAATAATCGATTATAATCGATTATAATGGATTATAATTAATTATAATTTGAATTTAAAAAGAGAGATTATAATCGATTATTAATTGATTAAAATTGATTGTTTCTCAATTATAGTGAGACTGTTACTAAAATCGTAATATAATCGATTATTAACGCTTGAAACTGGATGCGGGCAGTGCTATTATTTCATCCGTGTTAGAGCCTTAAAACATCAGAGAAATCATAGAAACTCATTTAATTGCAAAAAAATTGTTTATAGTATCGATGTTGAACGCTTTTTTTTG